TATTTAGAGATATTGTGGATTCTGTGTTTTTTCCCACGGCAGAGTGTCTGAAGCAATCTATGTCTCCTGTGTGCCTGGGGATTTGACTATCAAAGGCATTGCCTAAGCCTGGGGTATTTTGGCAGAATGAACTGCGGGGGTGGCTGCTGAACAAAGGACATTTTTTTTGTGGGCAACCCCATAGGGTTTTCAGGGCAAGAGACATTCAGAGATGGCTTGCCATTGCCTGCCTCTGCATAGCGACCCTGGACTTCCTTGGTGGTCACCCATCCAAGTACTATCCAGGGCTGGCCCGGCTTAGCTTCCGAGATCTGATGAAATTGGGCTGGCCTGGGCCATCGGGGTCAGAGTGTTTGGCTCCTAAGTATTGCGAAATCCGCAGCATCCCAAACCCTGACACACAGAGATGGCTTGCCATTGCCTGCCTCTGCATAGCGACCCTGGACTTCCTTGGTGGTCACCCATCCAAGTACTATCCAGGGCTGGCCCGGCTTAGCTTCCGAGATCTGATGAAATTGGGCTCGCCTGGCCCATCGGGGTCAGAGCGTTTGGCTCCTAAGTATTGCAAAATCCGCAGCATCCCAAACCCAGACACATTCATGAGGGCAGGCCTTTTGGTGACTTGGGGCAGGGTCTGGTGAAGTTATATTTTCACATTGTGGCCCGCTTAGTTCCAATCCAGGGCCCATATAACTATCTAAGGCTGCCGTCACACAGGGTGCGGTCAGTCACACGGTCCTTTTGATCGGGGTTCGCCGCTGTTCCCTCCCGCATCTAAGTTTGCTGATCAGACAGGCGAATCCCCCTCCCGTGCCGAAGCGGGCCCCCTCCCGCAATGCTCCCGGGTTTTCCTGCCCCCGGGAAAATCAAGTATTTTCCTGGCACTTGCGCTTGGAATGCGCGATTTCGCCCATCTGGACAGCCGTCTTTTGCAATGATTGCGATTAGAGCCATCTGACCGCTCTTTGGTTGTTGTTTTTTTAAAGCTTCCGGTTTGAGTGCTTGTGCGAACATGCGCTTTATAAATCCATTATTAAACGTTATTTTTATGTTCATTTCTCTGTTAAAGATAGCAGCTGCCCGAGCCTGCCCCGTGGCTGGTAGGATCGCTTGGAGGGACTCGGCGCGGTGGAGACTCCACTGCAGCCCCGATGACCCGAGCTGAGTGCAGCAGCCCTCTCGACCAGTCTTCCTTTCCCCACACCTCCGGGGCTGGTCGGGCAGGCGGCTTGCTGGAGCTGTCATATTATCTTTAATCAGAGAAATGAACATAAAATAACGTTTAATAATGGATTTATTAAGCACATGCTTGCTCAGGCGCTCAAACCGGAAGCTTTAAAAAAAAACAAAAACCACGGGTAATGCACGGCGATTTTCATTAGGAGCTGGCAGGTGAGTGGGTGGTGGAGGAGAGGGGCCGGCTGCATCTAATCAGCCCAACCCGAAGAAAAATGTTCCCGATTAAATTAAAACGGGAACAAAGCGGAATTACTTTCCCGTGTGACCACAGCCCAATACTAAATAATCCACTTTCAATCCAGTTTCAATGCGCTTTCCTTCTGGATTCTACCAGTTCACACTGTAAAAATCCAGTTGGAAAGTGCACCGAAAGTGGATTGAATGTGGATTATTTAGTGTGTGTGACCGCAGCCTAAATTACAGTCTTGGTTTTGGGTTTTGAAAGCATATTTTGTAAGGAATTTGCTGAGGAATGGTTCAAGCAGCACATGTTGCTGAGGTGTATTTAAGGTTTAATTCAAGTTAAAATGAGCCTTATGATCATGTAAAGACCCTGTGATATATGGGATGCAGATGCCCAAACACGGTTCTTACATATTTTTCAATTAAAATTTACGACGTGTGAAATTACGCTTTACATGCTTCCGACATCTGGTTCTTTGCCGTCATCTCTCTGGGCTGTGTGCAGTCAGTTTAGATTAGAACCTGGCAATCAACCAGTATTGATTTATGATAGAGCTGCCAAAATGAACTGATGCTCATTCTGGGAAACCGAAACAGCTACATGGCAAATCAGTCGATGAGTTTCATATCTGTCTGATTTAGAAGAACAAAGTTTGAGTCCAGTGGCACCTTGAAGACCAACAAAGTTTAATTCTCGGCGTAAGAATATTCTGGGCAAAGAATAAAACTTTGTTGGTCTTCAAGGTTTTCCTGGACTCAAACTCTGTTCTGCTGCTTCAGACCAACATGGCTACTGCACCCAAATCCAACTGTTTTATATGTGGCATCCACCTGAGAAATTTTGCTAATCTTTATCAAAGCTTTTGGTTTCTTCAGCTTCTTTAGATGTTCTGCTCAGTAAGTTCACTCCAAGTGAAATTCGGGTGCAGCTTTCCATATAACAATTTTAAAAAATCATACAGAAGGAGCCAGATAAAGAGCAGTGGATTGTGACGTGTGTGTGTTAAGTGCTTTCAGGTTGCTTTCAGCTTATGGTGACCCTATGAACTGATGACTTCCAGAACGTCCTTGCTTCCTTGATGGAGTCAGTCCGTCCATCTCCTGTTGGGTCTTCCTCTTTTCCGGCTGCCTTCAACTTTTCCCGGCATGACTGTCTTTTCCAGTGACTCTTGTCTTCTCATAGTGTGACCAAAGTACACTAGCCTCAGTTTAGTAATTTTAGCTTATCTTGTGACAACTTTCCTCTTAGGGCAAGCTAGTGTTAAAGTTGAAATTATTAGGGAGTAATGGTAGTCATCAGCCCAGTCACCCTCTGGTCAGCAAGCTGTTTTCTCACAGAAGTATCGATCGGGTGACTCCATCTTGTAATAGTTCACAGTGGGTCACAGTAATGGAAATGTGGGGTGTATAATAGTGAAAATATAACTCCTGTGCTGAGCTGTGATGTTCCCAGGGGGGTGGACAGCGTGTTACAGATACTGCCCAATACCTGTCTGTCTAGTCTATTTTTATCCACCCTTCCTCCAAGATCTCAGGATAGCTGGCATCAGGGGTCCTCCTCGACCCTTTTGAGCCTGTGGGCACCTTTGGAATTCTGACATGGCGCGTTGGGGCGCAGCAGCCACAAAATGGCTCCACAAGAGGCAGAGCCAGCCACAAAATGGTTGCCATAGCTTTACGTCAGTCGCAGAGTGAAAATTTGTGTGCTGTGGTGGCAGCTGCTGCCAAAGTAATATTCTTAAAAATCTACACAGCCAATTAAATCTGTAATAGCCATTCAAACCCTTGCTGGGCAGAAGCCCTACCTGACCCCACCCACTTCCGAAGAAGGAGGAGGAGGAGAAGATTGGATTTCTACCCCCGCCCTTCACTACCCAAAGGTGTCTCAGAGCGGCTTACAAACTCCTTCCCCTCCCCCTCCCCACAACAGACACCCTGTGAGGCAGGTGGGGCTGAGAGAGCTCTGACAGAAACTGCTTTTTTTCCAGAACAGCTCTTGTCAGAACAACGGCTTGCCCAAGGTCATCCAGCCAGGTGCAAGTGGAGGGGGGGGGAATCAAACCCGCGCACTTAACCACTACACCAAACTTGGGGGGGGGGCAGAAAAAGTGGCAGAGAAGCTGCTGGAAGACGTGGTGAGAGCAGGGATGGCTCGGCAGCACCCAGACTCTCCAGAGGCTGCCCAACCAATGGAGCCTCTCATGGATGCACCAAGGCCTCACCTGGGCTCAAAGGATCCTGTTGCCTGGCAACAGTGAAGGAGGCAGGGTGGGACATGGCCCAATACAGGGGAGGCCCGGAGGCAGCAAACTCCACTTAGAGTAGGATAAGTGTGAGGGGCGCTGATGCATCCGGAGTCTTCTGCTTCCTGAAAAAGCTTTTATTTTCTCTCATCTGTTCTGTGGTTAATGGGGGGAAAAACCTTTTCTGGTGAGTGGGCTAGGCAGGCCAAAAGCCCATCTATATATTTTATTTATTTATTTAGATTTCTATCCCGCCCTCCCCGCAGGCTAATAGCCAAGTTGCCCCCTCCGTGTGGATATCGAAATCCACACATCGGGGGCACTTGGGGGGCAGAGAGATTCTCCTGCACACTTGGAGCAGTCCCCAGATCTGCAGAAAAATCTGAAAAGTTAAAAAAAACTATACGGGGGATACTTAAATCCCCCCAAAACTAAAAAAGTGTTCCCTGTGTGTTAAGTCGTGCGCTTAACAAAGAAGTCGGAGAGTGATTCAGCAAGAATGCGGTTTATTCTTCAGCTCTGCACTTACCTCTGGGATCTGTGGCAGAGTCACGCAGGGCTCGCCACCCTTGGTGCTGGCAACGGTGGCATGGGGGGGAGTCTTGGCGGGTCAGCAGCTAGAAGCTGCGGCCGTTGCTGCTGCTGTTGGCGACGGCGGGGGAAAGCCTGGTGGGCCTGGCGGCTTGGAGCTGTGCAGGGCTCACTGGTGCTACTGTTGTGGGTGGCGGCAGTGGTGGCAGGGGGGGAGAGCCTGGTGGCTTGGAGCTGTGCAGGACTCGCCAGTGTTGCTGTTGAGGGCCGTGGCGGGAAGAAGCCTTGGCAGCTTGGGAGCCACGGGGAATACTCCCCCCCCCGCGAGTATCGTGGGTCCCGCTTCTTGTAATATCTCTATCTCCTTAGTTCCCTTCCTAAATTTATTTATTTATTTGATTTATACCCCGCCTTCCCTGCCAAAGCAGGCTTTGTTTCAAGCTGCAGTACAGAGAGAGATTCCACACCTGAACTTTATCTTCCATTTGGATTCTGTGTATAATGGCCATAGCACTTAAGTTTTTATTGCTACATGGCACCAACTTTCTTGAATACAGAATTAACCCCCCCCCCCAAGAATAAATAAGCCGCATGTCCCCGTTCCAGAGTGATAGTGAATGTTATCTCGAACTTTGGACACTTTATGGCCATGGGAAGGAGCGATTTTTTTAAAAAAGCTTTCTTTTAAGCAACTTTTCTTCCGCAGACTGTGTGTTCTTTTAACGGCGTCAGTTTAATTCTGTGATTTCACCGTTATAACATGACAGTTCGCTGTGTAAAAAGTTTTTCTCTGTTGGCTTGTAGGAATGACTTACCTTGACCATGCTGGGGCGACACTCTTCCCGCAGAGTTTACTGAAAACCTTCACTGAGGATCTCAGTTCAAATATTTATGGTAAGAAAGAACTGAACAACAGAAGGAAACGCCTTCTCTATTTTGTGTTGGTGGGAATTCCACTGTTTTCTCTTACACTTTTCCAAAGGCCTTGACTGGAAACCAGTTGCTAGCAGAGCTAACAGTTGATAACCCTGGATGTCCTAGCAGCTTTGGCTGCTTCCATTTCTCATGGCTTTATGACCCTTCCTCCCTACTGAGAATAGCAGCAGGGGCTTTGACAGAGACCCCCCCCCCATTTGTTCAGGCACGGAAGTTGGCAGCTGCAAAAATGCAGAAGGGGAAGACATCATCAAAGGCTGACAAACACAGCAGATTGAGACAGCAGAAAGAACTGTATCTCTTCCAATCGCAGGTGGAGGGATTGCACTTTGCAGGGCTCCTGTACATTAAAAAACCCCTCTCTTTGCAAATAGAAAAATACATTAGGGAGCAGGCAGGGGTAGATCCTTTCTCCCTGAGCGGCTCATTTTATTTGCTTCCCAAGTCAAGTCACAGCTGATTTATGGTGGCCCTGTGGGGTTTTCAAGGCGACAGATATTCAGAGGCGGTTTGCCATGGCCTGTCTCTTGTGTCACAACCCTGGACTTCCTTGGGGGTCTCCCATCCAAGTACTAACCAGGGCTGACCCTGCTTAGCTTCCAAGATCTGACGAGATCGGGCCAGCCTGGGCTATCCAGGTCAGGGCGGAATTCCCTGAATTCAGGATTCTGTCACCTCGTTATCTTGTGTGTGTGTAGACCTGGCCTCCATCTTGTATGGTGGTACAAAGCACAACCACTCAGATTTTAACAAGCAGTAGTCCTCATTTTGTCACTATTATAATCTGTGATATAAAGATAAATTAATAATTATGTTACCTCCTGTTTTAAACGAACAAGCGTATGTAGTGCAAACTGTTGGGGTATTTGACAGGCCTTTAAATATTCTCTTGTATATCATTCTTTCAGACAGTATCTAGCTTAACACATGGAGTAAGCAATTTGAGATGAGTCATGTTTGCATAAAAATGCTTCAAGAAATGTAGAGGTTATTTGTATTCCGAGCTGGCAAGTAGCACAACCTTATAAGGTGTGGGTAGACGGCAGCAGTCTTCACACAGAGCTCCTGGTGGTATAACAGGACTTGATTGGCAAACACTCCACCCCCCCCCCCAAATAAAAGTCTTTCCTTTTAAGAGAAAGAATCAAGATTCAGAATATTCAGAGCAATGATGGCTAGATTTGAGTCCAGAAGCACCTTAAAGGTAAAGGTTTCCCTTGCTCAAAAGCTAGTCAAATCTGACTCTAGGGGGTGGTGCTCATCTCCGTTTCCAAGCCGAAGAGCCAGTGCTGTCTGAAGACTTCTCCGTGGTCATGTGGCCAGCATGACTAAATGCTGAGGCGCACGGAACGCTGTTACCTTCCCACTGAAGTGGTACCTATTTATCTACTTGCTATTTCTTGCTTTCGAACTGCTAGGTTGGCAGGAGCTGGGGCCAGAGACGGGAGCTCACTCCATCACGTGGCACTCGGGTCTTGAACTGCCAAGCTACAGACCTTCCGGTCTGCAGCTTCAGCATCTTAACCTCTGAGCCGCTGTGGCCTCCAGGAGCACTTTAGTGACCAACAAAATGTTCAGGGTGTCAGCTTTCAAGAGTCCAAGCTCCCTTCCTCAGATACTTGACAAAGGGAGCTTGGGCTCTTGGCAGCTTATACCTCCAAAACCTTGTTGGTCTCTAATGTGCTACTGGACTGGAATCGAGCTGTTCTGCTGTCAACCAACATGGCTACCCTTTGAAATGATCTTCAGAATGCTCTGCCAAATTCCACAGACAGTGGCTCGATTGGCATGGGTTTTGCTTGAGCCTGACTTCTGGCCAGGCTGCGGGAATTTATTTTGTAACGGTCAATGGTTCCATCCTGTCTTTTTGTGGGAGCTTTGCTGTCTGCCGTCACTTGCTGCCCACTGAAAATCTGCCATTGAGAACTTCAGAACGCAGGAGTGGATTCTGTGTTTCATCCCACATCTGCACCAAATGTAGCCCCAGAGGGTTTCTTGGGATGTGCTTTGACAGCCCTATGGAATGTCAATTTGTCAATCATCTCTCTCTCTCTCTCTCTCTTGCCTTCTAGGCAACCCCCACAGCCAGAGCATCAGTAGCAAATTGACCTACGACACTATTGAACATGTCCGATACAGGTATGGAAATCTCTATGTGATGTGCTGTTTCCAGTGAGTTGCATTACAGTGATAAGCATTTTTGATTCAGTTTTGTACTCAATCTCTTACTGTTAGAAATGCCAGTTTTTAAAGTACTATTTACCATGGGAAGGACTGAAAAAGTAAAATGGACGATCAGGCCCTATTCCAACAACGGGGCGTCAAAGGCAGGATGATGCCTTTTTAGGTAGTTCAGCGGCATGTTGGCTCAGTGGCAGAGCCTCTGCTCGGCATGCAGAAGGTCCCAGCTTCAGTCCCCAGGATCTCCATTTAGAAGGACCAAGTTGTAGGCCAGGGGTGGCCAAACTTGCTTCACATAAGAGCCACATAGAATAAATGTCAGATGTTTGAGAGCCACGAGACATGAACAAATATTACACATACTTTTTTATTGGGAAATATGCAAATTTGCTTTTTTATTAATATTAAATGAGACTGGCAAAAATAAAAACAAAAGCGGTAAAAACATATTGATAATTATATTTACTTGTCCAATGATATCTGTTTGCTAATGATATTGATTTGTCTAAGAGAGAAAGAGAAAGAGAGGTAGAAAGAAAAGAAAAGGAAAAGAAGAGAAGAGAAGAGAAAGAAAGAAAGAAAGAAAGAAAGAAAGAAAGAAAGAAAGAAAGAAAGAAAGAAAGAAAGAAAGAAAGAAAGAGAGCAAATAGATTCGGGAGGGAAGGGGAGGAAGAGAGAGAAAGAAAGATGAAAAGAAAGAATTTAAAGCTAAAGTTGCATTCTTTCTCTGCCCCCCCTCCACCTCAAGCCCACCCAGGGAGGGGAACCCTGGCTGGGGAAGGGAAGACCGATGGGGGGGGGAGGGGCATGCCTCCCCTTCTCTTTCCCGAGCCACAGTCTGGCCTCCCCTGTTGTAGGTGATATGAAAGACCTCTGCCTGAGACCCTGAAGGATGGCTGCCACTCTGAGTAGACAGTGCCGACCTTGATGGCCTGATTCAGTGTAAGGCGGCTCCACGTGTTCATGTGATGGTTACAGATGCTATTTAGCCCCCCTTGACCCTTCCCTTCTCAGGGACTTTGTGCAGTTTTTCTAGCCTTCCTTCAGGATCACCTGTATTGCTCCAAGGAGCTCAAGGGTTCCTCAGCGGTTTTTGTTCCTACCTGAATACAGCTGTGGGGCCCCTCGGAATGGGACTGGCAGCAAAGGGTAGAGAGGGGTCTCCAAACCCTTCCCCCTTGGGTATGACTCAACGGCAGAGTGTCTGCTTGGCAGTCAAAAAGACACCAGATTGAGTCCCAGGCATCTCCAGTGAAAGGATCGCAGTTGACGACGAGGAAGACTTCTGTCTGAGACTCTGGGGAGCTACTGCCTGTCCGTGTAGACAATACTGACCTTGACAGAGCAGAGTTCTGATTCAGTACATGTGTTCATGTCTGTTCACAGGCTATTTTCCCCAACCAAGATGGTCAGCCTTGAAGCATTTTTTGCTTCTACAGTAGGAGAGATACTCAGCCCTTCTGTCTTTAACAGTTAGCAAGCAGCAGCTTAAAGAGGATGATTTGGGCTGACAAATGGCTGGTAATAATAATAATAATAATAATAATAATACCTTTCGATTTATTGATCGCTCATCCTGCAGAGCTGCTGGCTCTGAGCGATTTACAGTTACACATGTTTTCACACGGGACTAACAGTGAATCATAGGGTAAGGGAGGACAACATATAATTCTTTAAATCGCACACTTTTGCAGCCCACGGGGATTTTGTTCAGCTGTAAGCTTCAGGCGTGTTCCGGTCGGCATTCACTTCGGCTTGGCTAGATGACTTCAGTTCTTCCAGGCCTACTTTGAGTCGTAGTGCCGCACTGCCACCGCCTGGCCGGATTGGCCCATCACAGGCTTCTTAATGCTGAAGAGGTCTTTTTTCCCCAGGCTTTTGAGCTTCCGAGCTGGACCTTTCGTTCGCCGGCTAACACCTCCCCCACGGGGGTTTAGTGTGCCCACCCTCTCTAAGGAGTGGTACCCATTTTATCTACTCGCCGGAGCTTTCAAACCGCTGGGTGGACAGCGAGAAAAAGAAGGGGGAGCCCACCCCCCTTTCTCCCTGCAACTGCCCCAATCAAGTGTTGAGGCTGCCATGACTACATTATACACAAAGGGTCTCCCATGGGGGGGGTCTGTGGCTCGGTGGGTGGCAGTAGAGTATCTTCTTGGCATGCAGAAGGTCCCCGATTCAGTCCCTGGCATCTCCAGTTAAGGTAGTAGGTGACGTGAAAGACTCCTGCCTGAGACCCTGGAGAGCTGCTGCCCGTCGGAGTAGACAGTACTGATCTTGACGAATCAAGGGTCTGATCCAGTATAAGGCCACTTCATGTCTTCATGTGTATCCTACATTCTATGTTGATGGGTCCAAATGACTATGGATATAAACAGTTAAATGAGCATGTACAAATCCACACATGCCTAGAGTACAATTCCCTTTGGGTTAAAAGAAAAACTTGTTCTATTATGACTTTATTGCTACGGTGCTAGGAAATTTTGTATAAAAAATAAGCATAGCATAGCAGCTTTACTCATCTTTTCAGTATGTAAGGGTGGATTTTTGGATCTTGTACCTCGACCTTTTAAATCATCTGCCCCTTATTCTGGAATGACACTCCTGATTAGAGTGCTGGGAATCGAGGTGGTGAACGTAAGATCATACTACAGATGAAAGATGATGTGCAGTATTGCAGAATAACTGTATATCTTGGGCATCTTTAATACCAGCCATAAAATGACTAAATTGTGTCCCTTCATTCCTGTTCCCCGCTTTTTTATTTTGAATGAAGGAACAGTCTGAGTTCTGTTAAGCCAGTAGAAGTTGAGAGAAGACATAAATAATGTGCTCAGGATAGAGATGTAGGGTCTGTGTCTGCACGAGATGAGGCAAAAGGCTTGTTCAGAGGATGATTTTCTATCCCCCAACTGGCAGCCACACAAAGGGGGGGGGCAAGGATGCCACCAGATTGGGCAGTTGTTGGGACCAATGCTCCCGTTAAGCTGTTGGAGTCCTGTGAGCAAAAATTCTGTTTTGGCATTAAAGCTGTGAGCGAGCGATTTGGCTACTGCATAAATTAGTTTGCTCTGGAGCCACCCTTCCTGAGCTAAGACAAAAAAATGTGTGAGCCGGAGGCTAAAGAACTGTGAACCAACTCACACTAACTCATCTTAGAGGGAACACTGGTTGGGACCGTGGGGGGCCTTCAGAGTGCTGCTTTGTCAGCTGTGTGGTTGTGTTGTACAGTTGCTGAGTAGAGTGGGTGTTTCAGGAGGCCTGACATTGGAGGCTGGGATGGTTCCTGATCCCTCATGAGGAGGAAAACACTTGGGAGAAGCCGGGGGGCTCCAAAGGGGCACGCGTCACCTACTGCGTTTACTTCAGAAGGGCTGTGGTGGAAACATTTGGTCACCCATTCCAGGCAGTGCGGGATAGGGTCCGATGGACAGAGGAGGAGAATGGCAAAGTCTAGGGGAAGGTCCCCAACCTTTTTGAGCTCGTGGGCACCTTTGGAATTCTGACACAGCATGGTGGGGATGGCCACAAAAGAGCTGCCACAAGATGGCTGCTGCAGGAGGTGGAGCCAGCCACAAAATGGCTACCACAGCATACCTGCAGTGAAGATCCTCGTGCTGTGGTGGCAGCTGCTGCCGAAGCAATATTTTTAAAAGCCCCACCTGGCCCTGACCCCTTTCTAAAAACTTTTGGCGGGCTCCAAAAATGGTGTTGGCAGGCACCACATTTGGGACTCCTAGTCTAGGGTATCTAGATTTGGGGTTTCTGGACCCTTTAAACTTTGGTATTGCCTTGAAAACGCAAATTCCAATATTGGTATTGTATTGGAATTCGGGTAAAATTCATGAATCCTGATTTGTTTTCCTCTATTATACCCTATGAGGCCATTGTAGTCAATGGTAAATCTCCTAGGGTATATTCAGTGGGTGGTGGTGGGGTTTTGAGGTAGAGGTCCCCAACGTGGTGCCTGTGGGGGCCTTGACCAGTGTTCCCTCTAAGCTGAGTTAGTGTGAGCTAGCTCACAGTTTTTTAGCCTCCAGCTCACACGTTTGTAGCTCAGGAAGGATTGCTCCAGAGCAAACTAATTTATGCAGTAGGCAAATGGCTCACTCATGACTTTAATGCCAGTAGCTCACAAAGTAGAATTTTTGCTCACAAGACTCCACAGCTTAGAGGGCCATGACACCCACCAACACCTTTTCCGGTGCCTTCCAAGTGTTTTTAGGAAGTGGGCAGGCCAGGTGGGGCTTTTGCCCACCAAGGCTTCTGATTGAGCACTGGAGATTTGGTTGGCTGTGCAGATTTTGAACGGCAGCAGCTCCCACCACAGCACAAAGATCTTTTGCTGTGTGACTAAAGGTAAGCTATGGCAGCCATTTGTGGCTGCACCCACCATGCTGTGTCAGAATTCCAAAGGTGCCCACAGTCTCAAAAAGGCTGGGGAACCTTGCTCTAGACAGCAAAATCCAGAGCTTTAAAAGGTAACTTTGGTAAGCCCAGGGAAGCTGGTGCAAAGAATGGTAGCAAAATGCAGCTGAAACTGTTGTGCCTCAAGCTTTTCCAATGAACAAAACATACAAGCTGTAAACTAGCCCTGTGTCAAGTAATTAGGAATGCAATTAAGCATTGATGGAAGTGATTAAGTGATTATATTGAATAATACGCAGACTCTGTTAGTGGTTGACTGGATCTCCTATATGCGTTTCAGCAGAGCCCTAATGCAAATTGTTTGGGGGCTTCCACTTCCTGTAAAGGGAGTCCAGCAAGTTATTTTCTTTCTTATTTAAATAAACTTCTGGTTTTTTTTAAATACCTTGGGTGCTCTGCTTTTTTGCTTGGGGTGGCAGAAGAAAAAAGTGACCTAATGCCTCACCTGGAGTATTCTGCTATGTATTCTGCTGGAGTATTCTGCTCACCTGGAGTATTCTGCCATAGCTATTCTGCTATGGTCAGGCCTCACC